ATTTATGACTGGGATGATGTCACTGCAGTGCTGAGCACTTGTTTTCGCCACCTAATTCTTCGGTTCTGGAACCATACTTTCACTTGAGTTTCCGAGAGACCCAACTGCTTGGCGATGTACAACCGCTGAGCTCCTCCGACATACTGCTGGCTCGTAAAGTGTAGCTCCAGTCTCTCAAGCTGTTGAGGGGTGAACACAGTGCGCATGCGCCGTGGTTTTTCACTTGATCCAGCAGCTAAGAAGTGGATAGATTAAAAACAGATGATTAGCTTAACCAATAAGTGGCGTATGAATGCCCCGTGTGATTGTATGAAAACGTGCGTCTACTTGAGTCGCTATGAACATCTGCGTTTTTATTTGGATTAAATTTTCGCAGATAAATTAATGTTTTCCAAAGTCGCGTCTTAGTTGTCTTATAAGACGCACAGTATACTGTGAGACATATTTTACAAATGAAAGTATATACTTTTGTATGCGGTAGGTAATTTTTTTTCTTTTTCCCTCGAAACAAATCTACTATAATCTTGCGCACGTGCGCCTGCTTTGCAACAAAGACCATACGAATGGGCGGTAAAAAGTGACATTTTCCTCAAATTGCTCGTTAATACGTACTTGTAATAAAATTTTCCTCAAGTTTTCTAACCATTCATGAAAAAAAGAATAACTTCTAACCATCAGCTCATTGCACCGTTTATATATCATTGAGTGCCCAGGTTTCTTTGATTGTATTTGCATTTTTTAACTATTGTATATGGTCTAATGAAAAGGTATTTAACTCTCTCTGCTGACGACAGAGCTCAAATTCACGCAGACTTAAAGACTTAAGACTTAAAGAGCGTTTTCAAAAACCGGGTCGGTGACATAAGGAGACCTGAGTGTTTTTCTTTATTTTCTCTTAATACATGACAATGACAAATGAAAATGGAAAATTATAAACGTTAGCGTAGTAACCATCATTTCTTTCAGGAATGTGAAAAGCCATTTCCATTTCAATTTCACTTTCAAGGGTGATTGAAATTAAAACAATTAGTTAAAATTACGGTTATCCATTCCCGATTGCAAAGGTGACTTTTCATGAACAAAACGTTGTGATTTTCATCTGTTCTTTAAACGGAACAAAACACTACAAAGTTCATATGGCCTCCTTTTAAAATCAGATTAAGCTAATTTAAGACCTTAATTATACCAACACCTCAACAATTGTTTGAGTGAATATTATTATTGAGTGAAAATCAACAGTTTTTCTATTAACTTTGGGTTTGTCTATCCTTCTTTTTTCCAATTAACAATGCTCCTTCGAATCATTTTTTTTTCTTTTTGCTTTTTTTCAAAGTTTTGGTTTTAATTTCTTACAAGATAAAAGTTTGCATATTCTTTAGGCACTATCCGGTAGATGTCTATTGGTCAGCATTTATTTGCTGTGGAGTCAGAACGCACACTCAAATCTTACTTGTACCTTTACATGTGATCGGATTCATTCGGGGGTCTCTATTTACAGAAGAATGCCTGTCGTAAATAGCTTTAAATACCTACTATATGAGCCACAAACCTAACAATCGTCTATATCATCATAAAAAACGAGCCTTTCCCGGCTGTCAATGATATCAGATTAATTAAGATGGTTGCTCTCGACAGGTTATAATCAAATGGTGCTTACTCTGCTGGATTGTAATTTATAATTTGTTATTTTCGCATCATTTTATCTCGTTACCAAAGACAACCTTTCAAAATCCATTTGCGTTATAAAAAGACATGACTTTTAAAACAAATCGTGACCACTTGCACTGTTAGAGGTAGTCCGACAGTTCTAATCCAATCCTGATTGTGTTCCAACTTTATGTTATAACTCCTCCAAAGTAATGTTGGAACTGTTTAATGAGAGCTTTTATCTCAAACTTATACATACCCTGTTTAGACGTTTCCAAGTTTAGTCGCATTTGTGGAAATTGGCCTTGAACCAAACGAGTGTCGTGAGGTGTACTTTCTTCGTGGGGCATTTCTTTCATTCTCGGTAAATCGTAAATTCGGCTCTCTGGGCCAGCCGGGAAGTAAAAAGCTCTTGAATAGCTTGCAGGTCTGTGCAGATTGTAATGCGCTGGGTAAAGGGAAGTCCGAGAGGGAGCCGAATACCCAACTAGCGGATACGACGCGATGGGGATCTGCGATGAACCAAGTTTGGCATCTCTTGGATTGGTGTACAGTCCTCTGGGACGAGGCACTGAGCATACACTGCGAAACTGATCTAGATCTCTTCGTGAAAAACAGGCTTCGCAACGGCAAGGCTCTAGTTCCTCGCTCTTTCCGACCTTCAAAGTTAAAGCCCGAGTCTCCACGTTTTGCATGATGAAATGTGATTCTTCTTATCGTGTCAACGACGAAATGAGCTGTTTTAATATTGTTCATTGTCTTTTTCATTCTTGTCAACTTTATGCTACGTTTTTACACGTATCTTCGAGATCGTCTAGCAACCAGCACCAAATTACGTGTAAACCCGTCAAAAAGACAATATACTCTTTATTACAAAACGAGCACGCGATAGTAGTTACTTTCCCCTAGTTAAATCAATTCACTGCTCTAATTTCTTATTCTTTCATTCTTATCCGCTGACTTTTCCGCAGGTATTTTTCTTAGTCGCTTGAACTTATTAAAACCTACGGGTACCCGTTTTAAGAAGTTGTCAGCATATTTCCAACGGATGCAAATTAGCTTTCCTTGAAAACGAAAATGACTATAATTTCGACGTTATGTTTACTTGTTAATTGTTTTAATAAGGCATTTAAAATGTGTGAGCACAAACACCTCTATTTTAGTAGAGAGATGAAAAAGACAACTAAATGCATAATAGTTTATTTTATTGAGAGAGTTAAGTTAACTTCCTACAGACTAGCTAGCGCAGCAAATTTAAAACCTCTCTTGTATGATCGCATATGAATTCATTTTGTTTTAAATTAAGATTATCATTGTATAGCATTGAAAAGCAACCCTTAGGTTGTCTGAGTTCGTAATCAATAAATTATGAGACTCGCAGCTATAGCCCGGCTTTTAAAATAAAACGTGTGTTTTTGCTGGCCAAATTCTGGGGAAAGTTGGCTATAAAAAAAATTAGTCACATAAAATACCCCTCTTGTTCTACCACCGCAAAATGGGAGGGCATTTAAAGTGTTTTTTGTAATAGAAATTTCAGTGACAACTCTCGTCTTTAATTGTGACTGCTAAAAACCGCCAAACCCACTAACCTCAGGGTCCTTTTGAGCAGGAATGAGTCGTGGCTATGTAAAAAGACAACTACATGATGTTTATGTTGAAAAAAAAACTGACTATCATGATAAATGTCAATGGTAATTAGAGCCTTTAATTTACAAGGCAGCATGATCAAGTAAGGTCCTGCCGATGGAAAAGCCGGGATTCTCGTTGTACCGTGATGGTGGCTCCTATACCTCAATAGAGACATTAGCCTGAAAAATTGAAATAAAATTCAAGGACATAAACGAAACCGTGTGCCAGCCCTCAGGATTACTTATTCAATTACTCGGTCCGTAGCGCCCACGCAGACAGAAGACGCCAACAGCTTTACAGAAAACCATGCTCGACAGCTAGTTCGGCCTAAATGTCAGTAAAGATGGTGTCAGGCTAAAGTTTGTGACCAAAAATCTAAATCAGAAAAATAATTAGCTAAGAAGCCGTTAAAAAGATTGATCATAACTACATGTATTTTACGAATGAAGAAGACTTTAAAAAGACTCTTAAGATTATATTATGGCTCAGACTAAAGTCATTCGATAAGATTTATTTCCATTTGTTACCGAGGAGGAATTTTAACAGTTAAAAGAATTGCAAAATAGTTCTACGACATCAGTATCCATCGATTCTTTTTCAAGAACCTGTATAGAGTGCTCGTTTAGTCGTTTAGTCGGGTGGACATGTTATAAGAGAACGCGAAAAAGGTTAGTTTGTTAAATGAGCAAAAGTGTAAGGAGTTCCTTGGCGGTCGGCAGACATGAGAGTGTTGACTCAACCCCAGTCCTCCCTGTTAAGTAACGCGGGTAGGGGTGATGAGAAAGGCCTAAGATGCAGTCCTCGCCTTTTGTCTTTTACACCACTCCCTCACGTGCTCTACGGGGTAAAATCAATAGCCTTCTTTTAACGGGGATTGTTAAGGACAATCCTCATAATTTTATCCCATTGATCACCTTACACAGGGTTCTTGAATTTAGTGAGTCAGTATGCCACAAGATCACAGATGGTTTCCTGAATAGTGTTCATTTATTATTGCGGTGCCTGAAATCTAGAGACAATTCGTTCATACAAGGCAAAAAGCTCTTACACGCTATAAAAGCATGATTTGGTTTTCTCAATGATACAGACAATTTTATAGGTTTATTATAAACTAGCGGTTAAAAGGTTTGGCAGTCACACTCGCGTCTGAGTCAATTTCAGTGAGTTAGAAAGTGATCGAAACAAGTGCAAACGCGACGAGGTCTCACCTTGACAAAGGCCAGGGTGTATAGGACGTATATACTGAGACGCCTTCTGTCTGATGGACAGGAATGTTTGGCTGAAAATCTGAGATAAGACTGAAATATTTTCAGACAAACTGCACTGAGGCTTTCAAATCTTGATAATCTTATACGTATTTTTATTCTTGTACTAGGCCTACTACTAATGGTAAGAAAAAAAAGCTATGCATGAAAATGATTACGATATGGGAAACGGGGTATCATAGGTCTCGAGACACTAACATATTTGTGTGGAGCGGTGGGTCCAAGCTGTGTCATGTGCACTTGTTTTGAACATTTCCCCTATTACTTACTGCATACCGAAAGACAGTAACTTTAGGCTATATTCCTCACGCATGAATAATATTGGCAGAACTTGATCCGCCGTTTAGAGCCTGGACCGCTAGAGACATGATACGTCGCGGCCCTAGTTTAGAATTATACGTTTTTTGCTTGCCTCTTGGCCACTTCAAAAGAATTCTGAGACTTGGAATTAGTGACTTCGAAGTTTCGCCCCTCCCACTGCGCCTGGTGGCGGTTGACGTCGTATACCCACAATCATCGGCATGCCTAATATCCTGACAATCGCAGTTTCCTCCCAAAACTTATAATTAGTTTCTCTTCCCTAGGTATGCAGGGCGAATATTATGCTAAAAAGCTCATAAACTAACTGCCTGCTTATCAGCTTCACAACTGATATATAACGGGCAAGAGACAGTAAGTCGATGATACTGATCCGAATCGGTGAATCTTGAACCTGATATACTATTTCATTAAGCATTGTGTCTGATGATAATTTCTGAAAAACATTAAATAGTTCTTAATTAGCAGGGTTATTTTTAAATTGACCTGAAAATGAACTTTTTTAGTTAAAACAGAGGACAAAATTATTTTGACACAGCTGTTAATCAGTAAATGATCCTTATTCCGAAACACACTGTATAATATTAAGGCGCCTTAATGATGCCAAGGCTGATTCTTAAACTATATCCTGTTCACGCTTTTACTTTTCGTTCTAATTTTTGTTTCCTCCACTTTATCCGCCGATTCTGGAACCAGACGCGAACCTGTGTCTCTGTCAATCCCAGCTGACTGGACAGTCGTCTTCTCTGTTGGCCAGAAATGTACTGATCGTTGACAAAAACTTTCTCCAGCTCGTGCAGTTGTTTGGCCGAAAATACGGTGCGTCCTCGCTGAGGCCTGATAATCTTGTCGTTGATGTAGCGGAGCCCATTTCTGTCTTCCACTCGAGGGGAAAGGTCTGCACAGAAAGAAACCGTAGATGATAATCACCTTCATGAGCATCGAATGCAATAATATTTCATATTATATTGTTTTGTAAGTGCGCGCTGCATTCTCCGCCAACTGACACGCGGTACGGGTCAATTTTCCAAGAAAAAGACAGCATAGTTAACAGGCAGTTCTACTGACTTCCTTTTTTTAAAAAAATAACTTAACTAGTGAAAAGGGGAGTAAGGTATTAATTGTTACTTTCCTTATGTGTGTGTTTTTTGTTCTTTTTCAATCCATTCTTGTTAGCCTCGATCGTAAATTCTAGAGAACGTGATCATGACTACAATGACAGTTGCTCGCTAAGAATTTTTTTATAAAAGCGAAAACGAGATGTAAAAAAAATCCCATTCTAACATTTTGCCAGAAAGTTCCAATTCATACTTAGGAGCTTGTCGAAGACCACACGCCTACGAGATCTGAATGCCAAGTTGCCATCATAAGAAGATTGCCATACATGACCTGTACTTTTGCTTTATGCTTTGATAAAAGTTTTTGTCTGGTCAAGTATTTACAAGGGGCACAGAAAGCATGTTTGATAAGTATGGCGCACTTACTGTTCCTGATGTTCACAAATGGTGACGTACCTTAAGTGATGTTCTATTATATTCCTGCAGATAGTACTTTTTTTATTAATAAAAATCACTGCCAATCTATTCTTTGCCAGGACTATGAGCGCTGGCCATGCATGACATACAAGTGTTCCCGAACCATCCTTATTTATAATCAGGCGTCAACACACACAAAAAAAAATTTCAAAAATTTCTCCAATTGAAATTTGGGCTAGATCTTCTTTAATTTTCACCATTCCTACCCACACTTCTCAAAATTAAAAGCATACACAAAGAGAGAAACCAATTCCAAACGAAATAAGTAGAACCGAACCTCCTTTTGGCGGCATCTCTTGTAAGCGACCTCTTTCTGGCATTTTCAACTCTGCGGACAAGCGAATACGCCTCAAATGGTTCGTTAGCTCTAAAATAACGAGCCGGAATTTTGTTCAGAGAAGTTTTCGGCAAGACGATGAAAAAAATTGTCAAGTGCCTCGTGCACCATTGAATACAATATCAATCCTTTACTTTGGGGGGCTCGACTGATCTTAAAATGGTAACACGATTCAAGCCTGAAACTTCACATGCTTTGACTCAGTGGTATAAAGGATTCTTGATGATCAGCGTAGAATTATTAAAAACATCAACTTAGTCATCGCTAAAAATGGGCTTATTCGCCATAGCATGGAAACCACGACGTTACATTTGCAAATTACATGTCGCAGCACAAAACTGATAATATGGCGCAATGAAGATGTCTTCTTATGATAATGAAAAAAGCCATACACTATATTTTGGTCTCTTAGTAGCTTTCAGTGTGAACTATATGCGGAATTCCCAAACAACTTTGTCAGCTGTTCATAAAGAAAAATGAATAATACCTGATTTACACTTCCCTTTTTACTCCTTCCTCACAGCCTTCTTTATCTGAGTTTTAAAGTGTGATTTTTCGTGTCCGAAGTTCAAGTTTTGGGCGTCTACGGAAAATTATCTCATTTCCTCCCATTGCCTTTTTATGTAATTGGTACATTATAGACAAATGGTCGGTGAATAAATAGATTTCTACACAAAAATATTAGATTAACTACATGTGAATCAATAGGCTATCAATAAAATTTGTAGTTCCGTCGTCCAAGATTATCTGTCTCACCTGTGGTTCCCACTACACCGCCAGTCTTGGTTTTCTCAAAAAGTTGATTCAAACGTTCCACATCTGCCGCGCCTGCCCCGCCATGTTCAAGGACATGATAAGGGTTTGTCCGGGTTCCCACTTCTTGGCATCCTGGGCTTATAGAATAGTAGCTGTTGACCGAGGGGTAGTAGCTTGAAGTGAATGTATGGGGTAAGGCGTTTAGATGCTGGGGCATTCGAGAAGTGGGTCTCTCGCCGGCAGTGGGGCTATGCATCATGTGCTCTGTTAAACGATTGATGTTTCTCGATGAGTCAGGAGACATTCCCTGGACGGCGTAAAATGAGGAATTCATAGTAGGACGGAACCAGTTCTGTGATAGAGAAGACCAAGGGCTTGATGCTGTGTGATCTGTTGGTTGCATCTTGACGAAGTGAAAATACTGACTGGATATATCACACAGTACAGGCAGTCAGAGCTGCAGTCCGTAATTATGCTTAAATGGATGAAAACGATGGCTATATGACTTTGACAGCGACTTATATCAAAGTTGCTGATACCAATTTACACTGATAAACGAAATAAGGTGTCATAGAAATTTCAGCTAGTATGCTCTGTATATGACGTGCTGTCAATCAAACGTGCATGGTCGCTCACCAACCGAAAACTGAGTGTTTTAATTTTCCTTTCTTGTCGATTGTGTTAAATGGAAAACTTGAAGACTGACGATATACCAAGAAACGCGATATGGCTTGATGCATTAGTTTTTTTATTATTGACAAAAATGACTGAAGGAACTTCATTCGACATTAACTTAAAGTACAAATGAAAAATAATTTAACCATTGTTTCATTTCAATTAGTGTTTTCCCTAAAGGTCGTTATTCACTCTCTAAAAAACTCTCTAGTAACAACACCTACATTCATATGCAAAATATATCAATGAGAAGGGCTTTTAAAACAACCGTATGAAAACAAAGGCAGTCTGCTCTATATTCAGTAAGTTTAGCAATTGAGAATTATTAAATGAATATTATTCACAGAAAATTTGTCCAGAATGGTAATCAAAAGTCGAACTGTTCTATTCATTTTCTCCACTTCGTTTATCGTTTGATGAAATGTCTATAATAGTTTTTTTTGAGTAGGAAAACAAACAAAAACTTTCGTTTCTTTGTTCTCAAAACTGAATGCGTACTGCTACAACAGGTTGGTCACCGTGGTAGCAAATTTCCCCGGCTTAATTTATCTTAAATTTTTGGCTCACTTTTTCATGTCATTATCAATAAAAACATATTTAAATGTGAGGTTGAATAGTGCCAATTTGTAATATAATATTTCACTGATTTTTAAAGCTCTTAACCGGCTGGTCCAACATGCACTTATTCGTAAGTCTCTGTTACCGGGCCCTCAAAGTAAAAAATGAACATTTTATCACAACCAATGTGACAGGTTACTGCTGTCAGTTGCATTTTAGTTTTTCATACAATCTGCTCTTTAAGATATCAATAAATTTTAAAAAGCTGATCTTTCTCGCTAAAGAATAGCACTCACAATACAATGTATATTTGTTACAGCATGTTATAACGGCAAACACAAGAAAGGTGCTTCATTGTACAAGATAAAACTAAGTAAATATTTAGGTTCTCGCCATTATCAATTCCTTCATTGCCTGTTTGTCTATGAATGTGTAAATGAACATATGCTCGTTAAAACAACATGATTTAGTGATGAACGCTGAATGTTCAGCTGACAACCCTTTCTATCTTTAGTGGTTGCGCCGAATGCAGCCACCTGTAACCTAAGCAGAAACCTGGTTCTTGAATTATAATTATGGTTCCGACTCGATGGAACGTGCTTTATAATACAAATACATTAAATTAAAAAAGACAAGAAAAGAAGCAGTGGCTCCAATCCAAGTTATTCGAAAGGTGCTGATCATTGAGTTATTAAACTTAGTGGAATGAAAAATGCTCGGAACGCACTCGGAAAAGTCAACAGTCAGTTGCCTCTCGATCAGCTGAAGGTGAAGACATGCTTCAATATCTAACACGGCGTTGCTTTATTCACAGTGGTAACAAAAAAATGCACTTTATTTGAGTGTCAAGGTATTTACCACTCGAAAGTACTAATTGGGGACACTATTTTTAGTCTTCTACTGTAGGCGGGACCGCCATTTTACGTGGTCATCCGCGGCCGAGGCATGCGAAGGTCTAGCCGCTTGCTGTGCAAAGGGAGTACCTTCATTTCTCAGTTATTTCAAAACCCTGAGTAATGGTCCGGTCCCGAGAATCGAACCCGCGACGTCCTTCCGCTCTGCAGTCAAAAGCTCTAATCCTACCACCAAATGAATTCGATGAATCGATAGTGAACTAACTGCGGGTAATAATAATAATAATAATAATTGTTGTTATTATTATTATTATTATTATTAATATTATTATTATGTAGTAATTATAATTATAATTAAATAATGACTCCCCCCCCGCCGCCGCTCCAAAGGAAACTGGTTGCTTCTCGGAGCCCCGGAGAGTACAAACTGCGAAAGAAGAAAAAGATAGCAAAAATATTTATTAACATGTAACCAATTTACATTCAACTATCATGGACTAAACTTCTGATGAAACAAAAATATTAAAAGATCCTAAAACACTAATTGACAAGCTCACGCCGTTATCGACTTTCTAAAATTAGCGGACACACGCTTGGCTAGCTTTTAAGCGGCAGTCATCAAATGGCCAATTTACATTCCACTATCATAGACTAAAATTTTGATGAAATAAAAATATCAAAAAGATCCTAAAATACTAATTTACAAGCTCACACCATTATCACTTTCTAAAATTAGCGGACACACGCTTGGCTAGCGTTTAAGCGTCATCAATGAAATCCCCATTGTGGAATTTTGTGGAAGGGTGTCCTGGAACCTCTTACGCATGCGTGTACCGACCTTAAAATCTCAAAAGAAAGTAATGTTCTAATCCAAGTAATAGTAATGTGATAAGGTTCGTCATTCTTTTCTGAGAGCTTCTCGGCTAGGTGTTTGAGAAAGCAGTTGCAGTCGGCTCCCGTCCCACCGCTGGTTCCAAAAACTAAAGGGGTGAAAGATCCCATCCCTCTGTTGGTACTTACGCTTTTTTCCTTCTCCTGGTCCTTAAAGATGGTGGATGTTGCTTTTCCCTGTTTACACTTGGAGTTAACATGCGTTACTCTGACATCGCAAAATGCTGTAACTCCACGAGATCAAAAGCCCCCTGCCTTGAAGTCCAGCCTTGCTTCCGGGCTTGTTACCGCGCTTCTGAGGTTGAATCGTTCATTATCGAGAGGTTTTAGTTGTGGTTCGACTTCAAAGTTGGCACAAACCTTACCAATAAGCGAGGTAAGTAGCTTGCGAACACCATCGTGTCTCTGCGCCACGAACCTTCCCTTTTTGCATGACAGGGCATGGCAGACGGTATACTTATCACCACAAACACACTTGCTTGGTAAGTCGGACAGAGAGTCTCTGAATTCTTGTTTATTCAGCACTAGGCCTTAAACGACAAGAGGCACTGCGGTAAGCCATGAGCTCGCACCCTTGTCTCTCGATTGGTTAACTGACCGCAGCAGATCCGAGGGTAGAGTGGAATCAAAACTTTACATTCTCAATTTCACCGACGCAGTTTTCAAGGCTTGATGTTGTCTTTTTAACTTCTTCGTGGAATTCTCGCCTGCCACCGTGAACATGCTCTGTGTGGCAATAGAATCTATGTGCGGTGCCGTTATGGCAGAAGTAGAAGCAGCAAACTGCTGTGGAGCTTCAAACCGTAAGTCGGGTACGCCTAGCCCTCCTTGAGCGGGTGTCAAAGTAACGAGCTGACGCAAATCACTTGGGAGGGGCTCCGTTTTACCAAACAGTGTTGGGAGAAGTAAGTCGTCGATCGCCTCTTGGATAGGTTCAAAGTAATCTTCAAACGACTCTATTGTGCGTATGAAATAGGTAAACTTGGATTTGCAACCCTCCGTGAAAACAGTGTAGGCTGCATGAGGCTGGCTCCTTGCTATCTCAGATAGTGCTTCGAGTTCTCCTTTCTATCCAAGGACCATTTCCCGACAATATTGATGATAACAATCATCATCATCATCATCATCATCATAATCGAAACGAGGAGGGTGTTATTCGCCTGCCACTTTGTGGATGCTTTTATTTGTTTAAAATATTTGGTTGTGATGTGATATCAAAGTAACGCCTACACAGGGACGATTTGATTTTTGTCTTTTTATTTCAGGCAAGCACATGGACTTCATCTTTTGGTTTCACTATGGCTTTTTGCGGGCTCTTCTCCAAGACCTTCATTGTGCATCGCATCTTCTTAAGCAAAACACTGAGAACGGTAACTAACAAAATAATAATAATAACAATCGATAATAGTAGTAATAATTAATAATGAATAATAGTAATAACAATGATAACAGAGATAATGATGATGATGATGATGATGATGATGATGATGATGATGATGATGATGATGATGTGAGATGCTTGCGAACAGTAAATACTTCAAATGTCATAATCGACTGATGGGATCCAGTGGACTGTGGGCTCTTTGGGAAAACTGGATCTGAGAGCTCACATAAACTAGTAGGAACATCAGGTGGAAACACTTTTGGAAAAATAGATGAACTAAAATTTCCTGGTGCTGCGACACATACGGACACACTGACACATCCGATGTTGTAGTGGTCGACAGAGTCGATAGCACACTGACAGCAGTGCAAAAACCTTAGAGGTAGCTGTGCTGAGAGGCGCCAATATTGATATCGGCGAAGGAAGGTGGCGTTTTGGAGCGAGTTTTGAAGAGTTTTGCGATACTGTCTTAACCTTTATAAGTCCTTTTATTGACGGTTTAAAAAGTATCGTAAAAACCAGACCAAATCGCTTCAAACGATGATCACAAAATACAGCACATATAAGTGTATTTTATTTCATTACTAATTATCAACTCCACGGTAAGGCCAAAACTTTACGTATGCGCACAGCTATATCACCCGGGCAGATGTAGCCATGGCTGCGCGCATGCGTTTTGCAAACGTTTGCGTTCACCAATACTCCAAGCTCTCAGTAGATTCTCAAGCTGAATACTGATATCGACCTGCCATGATTTTTCTGGTAATATTCGGCGGACAATGGTGGGACCCAATTTCCGCTTAGTGTCCGTAGACGACACTGTGACGAAGCTATCAGGAACTATCAGTGTCGGCCGACACGGGCCTGTAGTACCCATGGTCTACGACCATGTCGGAAGAAGCTCCGGCTGAACGTGGACGCGGATACAAAGGTTGTTTACCACTTGCATGGGCAAACCGGTTGATTCATGGTTTGGGTATATGGTAAGGAAAATTCAGGACTGGTAAATGTCGTCCTGGAATCGCGTTTGTACAAGTCAGTTACAATTACCGAAAAATCGGCCGCGAAGGCCTGAAACCGGTATCAAAGATCGGGCTTTGAAGAAATCAACACGAATTTCCGTTTGGAATATGCCGTCCGGAAAACAGGACTACCTTTTCAGATGTTCCATTGCTGCCGGAAATTTTCCGCTGGAACGACTCAATGACTAGTGAGACATTTAATTTCCCACCGGATTTTCCGGAAGCTTTTTGTAAATGGTAAACAACCAACATTTGCCATGAACCGATACTCGGAAGCACTGAAGAGAAAAAGGAATCGATGCTTTAGGATGTTTCTTTAACGGCAGCGACTGCCTCTGTCAGAATGTAGATCAGTTACGTAATTTTAATACCACTATTTCAGAAAGATCTGTGGCTCTTAATCCGGTAAGGGTAATTCAAATTTCCATATCAGAATTCTTGCGATATGTAAGTAGGTAGGTGCCATCATCATCATATATGTTTCTGTGTTAATGATATATGAAATATATCATATGAAATATATCATTTCTTTATTTTCATATTTGTTTCTATCAGTCAAAAACACGTAATGAAATATCAGAAACACACATGGTCCCTTTTAGACAAAACTTTCATCTCAATGATTTGATTCATTCGCTTAATTATTCCGCCGAGTCTATCGACTTTGTCTGAGTGTGTGGTCTTGAGGAAGAATACATATAACAATAAATATATAAAAAACAAGTATCTTTTTGTCGCAGTTTCTATGCCCTTCAAAAGCGGCAAAATACAAAGAAACGCAGCCGTTATGAACGCCAACTAGGAAATAATCAGATAGACATTATTAATTAAACGATATAAAAGTGCGATTAAGTCAGAAACTGAAATGGTTTTCAAGTTTTTCCTATTTGAAACGTGGTTTTACGGCAATCGAAACAGGATAAAAAAATCGGCCAGTATTAAAATATTTAGCTTTAACTTGTGGAAATGACTCCAGATAACAGTGTTTTAGTATCAACCTCCGTGTACGTCATATTGGTCACGTACAGTTTATTATTCTTAAACGCACTCCAGGGAAAATCCGTTGATAATGTATTTACACAGAGGCAAGCAATATTAATCGCTATAGAATTGCACTCATTAAAATATCGCGTGATCGAGGATGTGGAAACAAGTGCCGGAAAGCAAATAAACCAGACTCAGTCTCAAATTCAAAATGGTTGACGGTTTCCACATTTTTTCATACGAAAACAAGATCAACTACCAAAAGCGATTGCCAGCAAAGTTTAATTTTAATTTCGGGAAAATGACTTACCTCCGACTTCCAAAATCTTTAACTTTTTCTGTATTTTTTTCTTCCTCTCTGTCTCTCTCTCCCACTTTTTTTATGCAAACCATAATCTGACCAGTCATTATTTCACTTTTTTCCTCCTATCCTTTTCTTTCTTGCGTTCTTTTTTGTTGTTGTTGCTTTTTTTTTTCTCACTGCCTAGTTTCGGACTCGTGCATAGCTCTTTGCTTCTCCCTGGCTTTTTTTAAAAAATTCTGATCATGATTTAGTCAGTTTGCGAGGAACCGCGGTCCGGTTTGTTCAAACATTAATATTGCAGTGTAATCACAGCGGAACGGGCGTAAAAGTTCACAAATTCTAATAATCGGTTTCTTACAGTTCTGAAGAAGAGCGACCTTGTTGCGCGTTTTTGTTACAACTCGTAACATTTTGGTCTTCCATTCGCAAAGGCCGCGGCCGCTTTTAAATGAAAACAAGCATTATTTTACGCGCCTATAGAATTAATGGCCCTCTACATGAACAATCAGAGATCTAGACCGACAAAGGTAAGCTTAATTGCAAAGAGAGCTTGATCCTCAAAACAACTGCCAGGAAATTCATGAACGTATTGAACCTATGCCTTCTTTTAGGTAGTGAATTCGAATCAGGTTTACTTTAAGCAAGTGAAAAGATCGAAGACTGTTGCTGCAAAAAGATGTATAAAATCGACTAAAAAATGTTCTGCGACTTTCTTTATTTGCGATCTTGTTGTAATCTTAGCTTTAAGAGAAAAATTAACAAAAGACAAAACAAACTGTATACGTTTTAGAGCAGTTTATTTTGACCGCAAAACTTATTATATTAGAGGTATGAGGACTTGGTTCAAGCTGTTGGCGATACAGTTAAGCCAGGTCACCACTCCACTGCTTATCTTGTTTGGAGCAAAAAAATAATAATAATGATGTGATATTATAGTTTAAGTAGTTGTGTCACATACAGTTCCTAAAATTTCATGAATATGGCGACTTGGCCAGCAAAGAAAGAGCATCGATCGCCCTTTTCTGTACGTTTCCCTGTGTTCTCTACACAGCGATCTGAAGAGGACCACTAAATTTTAGTTTAATAGGGATAAAGTGAAATCTTTGTGCGCGGTTGTGCCTGTCACCTCAGTTTGCATTTAATATTATAAATCTCCAAACATTTAAAAAAGATGGACAAGTTAATTGCTGGAATAAAAGAACTCAAAGAAAAAGGCCTATCACACGTAACGAGTCGATGTTACGGGAATTTAAAATGCAAACTTTTATTTATCTCTTAAAGGTGGCCAAGACAATTACGCTCGCTTTTAAATGCGTGGGAAAATGCTTCTTGGCGCGGGGGTTCAAAGGAACTGCCTTCAGTTACAGCTTCACATTCAGTTTGATTTAACTATGGCTGACATAATGTCAAAATGATGAAGTATTACAAAATAAACATCGATACAAAAGAAAACATGAAAAATGTCATTACATCCCCAAGAATGTTAAAGATAAGATACCTGATGTATTCAGCTGGTCGGGAGAAATACTGTTTGGACTTTTCAGTATGAATTTGATACAAAGAAATGGCTGTAGAAATAAAATCATGAAGAATTATCTTTCAATTGGTTCATTTCGCGACTAATTGTTCATTATTCCTCGAATCGTATCACAGGAGTGTCTCATTTCGCCAATGTACGCCTAATTTTGATCCAAGTTTCTCTGTCTCGTTGTCGATACTACTAATATCACAGTGTATCACATATTAGCTGCAAAATAGATTAATTAAATAAATCCAGTCATAGTAAATATAAATAGACAATAGCATGGCCATTTAAAATGGACAGATAAGTAATAACCCATTTGACTTCTACTGATAATGTAAATAGCGCAGATTTATAAGAAAAATTAAGAAAAAGAAAAAAATGCTAATTTTTTAACCCTCTCAGAGAATGTTTGTATGGTTTTTAATTGTAAAGCGGCTGGCTCAGCAAGTGGGCTTTGTTCTGATTGGCTGACCATAACAAGCAAGATGGTGAGAAGCTATTTTGTTCCCGCAAGAAAAAAAACTTACAACAAGGAAAACATCTATCGCATATCTTAATTCAAGCCCGGTCACTCATCCGAGAGCAGTCGTTTGTTTTGCTGCCCACGCAAGGTGGCTGAAAGTGTCGCGCAAACATCCGTTATTGCTGCGAAAATTGCGGCTTACGTCAACCGAACCGTCGGTTGTCATCTCTTTCTTTATTTTCAAGACAGAGATTTTACGATATAAACAGCGCTTTCAGTTGAGAAGCTGCAAAACTAACAGGACCAGGTTGCAGTTTGTTGGATAATTGTGAGTTTATTTCTTTAATTACTGCTGTTTTCATGACGATGAATCCTATTGAAAACAACTTACATATTACGTTGTAACTAAAAGAGGAGATATACACCCAAAAACAGACCAGTCTGCGCTTTTCAGCTGTTAAACTACTTTCTTTTTCTAAGCGCCCAGCGCAAACTGAGGGTCTGCTTCATTCATCGCTCAGTACTTAGTGAAATAATGATCAGTTCATCTAGATCTGAAATTTTTTTTTTTTTTTTTTTAACTTTTCGTTGATTTCTTCTTGACTTGCAGATCCAACTGAGCTGAACATTGTGCTGGGGCGGCAATGGAAA